GCTAGGAAACCTAAAAGCGAATGGTCGGATTTTAAATTTAAAAGAATTTCTATGCCAACAAATTAAAAGCTTTGATAATAGCTCTTTATTGTTATTTTTACTCCAAGAATATCAAATTCCTAGTTTTACGCTTCTATACTTGCAATAAACAGGTATAAGTACGAATTTTATTAATTTTGTTATACATAAGTAAAAAATTAATATCAATTCTCTGATATTAAAATTTATAGACTAATTTTTATGATCGAATAGAGTTTTCATACTAAACTGTGTTGTTCTTACATAAATACATGTTGTGTGTTAAAAGGAATTAGGAAGATTTCGATTAAAATGTTTTCAAAAATTATTTTAAAATTTTTTTTAAATTCGGATTTTATACTAAATTTCAGAGACTCCTCCTATGGTAACGTACGAAATTTTTTACTATTATTGGGTTTTTTACGACCTTTAACTGATTGATCCTTTTAAAAAATTTTGTTTTCGACAATTTGCAAAGAAAACCTTTTGAATATTCTGACTGACCTGTCAAAAACTTTATAAAAATTATGATTTTGTAAAAGTATGATATTTAATTATAATTGTGTGTCATCCATTAGAAATGCTGGAAATTAAGATCAAATTAAAGTAAAAGTAAAAATCAACCTTCATATTTTAATTATTTAAAATTTTTAAACTCAACTTTTAAGTTTGGGTCATTCTGTTTGGGTCAGTCTTCAACAATTTTTCAAAATTGCAAATTTAAACAATTAATTAATTTTCTCAATATTGTATCAAATTTTTTTTAATTTTTTCCATTTATAATTATGATAATTTGTAATACAATTTAATTTATTCCATGTTAAGTAGGATAATAAAATCAATTTTCAGAATTTATCTTGTTATTTGATCTGTATGATGCCACCAATTATCGGTTTATCTTACAGTTTACTTAAATATTCTACTGAAAACAATCATTAGTATTTCATAAAAAGAGAACAAACAAACAAAACTAGTTTAAAAGAGATTCAATCATTTCTAATAAACCGAATTGAAATTAAAAACATAAAAAACATGTTGAAAGCGTAATCCATGCACATGTTCGGTTCAATTTTGTGTTTTTATCTTTTTTTTTACTGTCGCAAGGAAATAATTAAAAAAAAAATTCTTTTATTCTATATAACAATGTAGAAAAAAAAACGCAAATATATGTGGAATGTAGAATGACATAGACAAATAACTATAGAATGCACATTCTCTGGATCTGACTGGATATATAATTTTTGTTTTCGCTTTTTTACTTTTACAATTTGTTTTTTATACAGCAAATAGATTTAATTTGTTGGTACATTTGAATTTGTCAGTCATGGATTTCATTATTTCTCTGTTTTTTTCGCCAATTGATCTTTTTTTTGTGATTATTGTTGTTATTATACGGTTGAAAAGATTTTTTTTTTTTAATACATTCACACAATAAAACATTTTCATCTTATTACATATTATATAAAAAAATTTATGTGTCGGAGGCACAAGCACTTTACATATACTTGTGCATAATACAAATGTCTATATAAAGACAGTTTAATACAAACAGAAGCTTTTAAAACTTTTTATATACCTCAAATTCTATACTTGTTCTTTGTAATACAAAAGTCATTGGTTTGTACGTGATTCGAATTTTTAACTCTAAAAATTTTGAACTCTATTTGTAGATTTAAAAACATCATATTGAATACGATACAGAATAAAGACTGCAAAGGGATTGTCAGAACAAAACAGAAAAATACTAGAAAAAAAAAATTTACTCTTAAATAAAAATTGAATTTAGAATTCTCAGACATAAAAAATTTTGAAAATTTTGCAATTTAACAATGAAAATTTCTCAAACTCAAAAGATTAACCGTAACTCTACTTAATCTATGTACAATTCAAATCATATTAAATCGATTAAAGTCATTTTCGATCAAACATGTTGCACAATCTAAGAAAATTGTTGCATTTATTAAAATTTATATCTGTTTCGATTGGACTATGTAGAATGTATTTCAAACATGTTGCAGACACATCTAAGAAAATTAATGTTGTCAAACACTTTAGTACTGTCATATTATTTTAAAATATTTTAAAAAAACTTAATTTTAAATTTATTAAAAGTTATTAAATTTTGTAAAGTTTTATTTTCAATGCTCAGATAAAATTCATAAACTCTCTCAATCTAAAATAGTTGATTGCAATGAATTGCCATTGCTGCAACTAAAAGTCTTAATTGTAGATTTTCAAAAAAAAAAAAATCAAATTTCTATAATTTGGGAACCTTTGATAAAATTTTGTTCTATGAAATAATAATAATATTAACTACAATCATAAATACTGTCAGCATAGTGGTGAAGTGATCAGTGAATCGTGTAAAAATTCTCTCATTAATATATATATATAAATATTTTTTTTTATTTCGTAAAAAATTTTAAATAATTGCCATGAAATTAAATTTTTCAATATTATTCTATTTTTTTTTTTTTTTTGTTAATGATGTATTTTAAATGAATTTTTTTTTTATTTTCAGTTGTCTTTAAATTTTAATGAAATTCAATTATTGCATGATGTTACATACATATATACAATATTAATTTATGACACGGTAATACTATAATGTCCAAGTCAATTAAAAAAGAAGTGAAAGTGAAAAATTAATTTTAAACTTCATTACAGAAAATTGAAATACATACAATAATTTTTTTTTCGTTCGAATTAGTTATTTCATTTTATTTTTAAATTAATTAGAAATTTTTAATTGCATTTTGTATGACAAAGAAGATTATTTAACCCTTTCGACCCCGATTCGCGAATAGTTTAATAGTTTTATGATACATATGTGCACCGGCCGGGTCGAATAGTTACAAGTGTTTATACAAAATATTTTCTTGGCTGAAAGAATTCCTAAAAACCTTGTTAAGTATGTATGTAGTCTAAAATAGACGCTCTTAATATTGAAAAGACTTCGTCTCGTTCTCTTATATCTATCAATCTTTAATGTTGATAAATACATATTTCTTTTTACTAGAGAAAAAGGAACCAAGTGACAACTTAAATAAAGTTCAAAACAAATTTTATTTTAATCAAACTCATACATTTGAAATTTTGTATAACATAAGTACTTTTGTATTTGCTAATTATATGATTAATGGCAATTTTAAAATAATTTTAAGTAATTAAATAAAATAGAATTTTGCAGCAATTAAGTGAATTAAGCCTTAATCCAATTTAAGTTTTACAATTACAAAATTTTTAAAAATAATTAAGTATTTAATTTGGAATTTGATAATAAAATACATATATTTCAAATAACATAACCATAATATAGAAAGTTTTAATAACTGTAACTATATTATTATTATTATTATTATATTTAATAGAATAACTGTTATAACTAACTAGTAATTAACAAGCCACAGAAAATTATGAAAATAATAACATAATTGAATTATCGTTTATAATATTTAATTCATTAAAATTAAAGAAAAATTTCCTTTTATTTATTTAGCTTAATTTTATTATTAATTATACAATTAAATATTAAAAGCCAATTAATTTTGTATCATAATATTCTAAAAATAATTTGAAAAGCCATCATTTCTATCAAAAAACAAAAATTAATAATTGCAAATTTTAAAAATAAAATAACATAAAAAGAAAATTAATAATTATTGAATATATGCCAAAAAAAAAAATAAAAGAATTGATGCAAAAAAATAAAATTAAAATTAAGTGTTCTTAATAAACAACAAAATTTTAACATTGAAAAAATATTGTAACATTTTAAAGACCACAGACACTAGACAAAATATATAATAGGAAAAATTTTATTAAAATAGAAAAATAATTTTTCTTTTTATTCCAATTAAGATATTTTCTCGTTATACAAATGTCAAATTTTAGAACTAATATTTTCTTATTTTGAATTATTTTAATTTACATGGTTTTTTTTTATTTTTAATTTGGTAAAAGCAAGTCATAATTGAGTAGCAGCAATTCATTTTAATTTTAATTCATCAATAATTTATATTTTTTTTTCTTCACTTGGTTTACTTATTAAATACAATTTACTTAGTTTCTAAGTAAAATATATAGTAATAGTTATAATAATAAAAATAATATTAAATGAAAAATAAACAAATAAATTTCTTTTTTTTTTATTTAAAATTTTATTTCTTATATAAATTTTATATAAAAAATAAGAAGAAATAAGAAATCAATTTTGATTCATAAGATGCATTTTATAAAATCGAAATTATATATTTATAATTTGATTGTTGTAACATTTTAAAAACTTCATTAATGTTTCAAAATACAATTAAATATTTAATAAAATTAATTTGTTGAATTTAAATTGCGTAAAAATTTTAAGAGGTTTGAAAATAAATTAAAAAACAATATTAGAAAATTGTGAAAATATTACATTTTTTTTACTATGAGATTACTTGAATTTTATATAAAGTATTCAATATTTTAAAAATTATATTAGATGAATTATTTTGAATTTTATAATAAAAATAGTTAAATTTAACATTTAACATATTTCCCTAAACCAAATTAATACAATAAAAATACAAAAAATTTTCATGCTTTCTTTCAAAATATTAAAAATAAAAAAAAATTTTTTTTTAATTTTGTATTATTAAACAAAATAATTTTTAATATTTAATTAAAATTTTAAAATTTATTTTTTTTTCAATATAGCAATATTAAATACAAGCTTATTTTCACAATTATGTGTTAAATTTACATTTAAAATTGACATTAAAGTGTATAAATACAATAGAAAAAAATCAATGAAATTCTATTAAATATAAATTTTATATAATTACAAAATTAATGTAAATTTAAATAAAGAAAACATCGGTTTATAATTTTTTTTTAAGATCTACAACTTGTAAGTTTGGTTTTTTTTACAGATAAAATTTATTAACTGAAAAAAACAATATAATAAAAAAATCATAATTACATAACTAATTTATTTTGCAAGATAAAATTATTAAAATTTTCCTTCATTTGTTTTCTTATTTATTTTATATTTTTTACAAAATCTGATTTTTTAGAAAACCTTCTGGTTTTTATTTCTTTTTAAATTTTTTATTTATTTTTATATATTTAGACATTTCTTCATCATCAACTTCCTTATCCATAGCACCGTCCTCTTTTGCAGCCTTTTCTAATTGTTCTAATTCCATAAGACGTTCTATTTCTGGATTAATACCACGACATGATATACGTGCCTCAATTAAATCTTCAATTAATGCATATGATGGTTCCATTATAAAATTTGTACCATTATCTTTTAACATTTCTGCTGTTGTTTCTTTTGCATACATTTCTCTACCTTCAATTTCTTCATTTTCTTTAGCGACTTTTTCCTTAGAACGTTTCATAAATTTCATTTCTAGAATTCCTTTTGATAATTTTCGTTTACTCATTTTTGGTTTTTTCAAATTTTAATTTTTAAATTTATAATTTTTTTATTACACTCAAAACTGTAATTAAATGCTTTGCCAGTAAATTGTCAAAGTTATTCCAATCAATTCTTGAGAAAAAACCAATTGTTGTATTACAAATGTTTAATTATATATATATGCATGTATATATGTATATTCCTTTTCTCAGTTCTAATGAATTATTTCCGTTTTCCTTTAAAACTTTTCTTGATTAATTACTTAATTAACTGGGATTAACTTTTTCTTGAATTGAAACCTGCTTTTTTGCTTTCTTTCTTATCCTTATCTTTAAATTTTTTTTTAATTTATCAGAATTTCGGGTGTTATTGAATGAAATTTAGCTAAAATAAGAGTTTGTTTTTTATCTTAATTATATTAATTATTTTTATTATAATTATTTCTCATTTATTATATGTACATTTATTGAAGTGAAAATAAAATTGAAATACATACATAGGTATACACATTTGTTCTGCATAATTTGTAGAATAAGAAACTATCGTATTTTTTGTTGAAAAGTAAATATGTATATAATATAGGTGTATAAACACATTCTTTATTATATAATATAGTTTTATAACATAGATAAATATATGTACATATATAAAATAATATATGTACGTATATAAATTAAACTTAAAGGTGTGTTGGATTGAGGTTTAGTACAAAGCATAATTCTTTATCTTTAAAATATACTATATTATTATTAAAAAAAAAAAATAAAACAATAAAATTAAATTTCTGAACAAAAATTAATTTCTTTTAGTCCACTCGCGCTCGGTTCCGCTTTATGAATTTGAATCTAATTTGAAAATAGGTACACTATAAGTTTCTTACACTGTTATTTTGTAAAATTATCATGTATGTAGGTGATATTAAACAATATCTACATTATATAAGTAGAACATACACATTATATTTTAAAATATACATACATATAAATTTAATAGAAATGATTTATAGTCATCAACATCATCATCATTATTAAATAATTTCTTTTTTAGCCCCAAAATACAAAAATAAATAAAATTATTAAATGTAACCATCATTGTCATCAATTATTGCTCATAAATTATAATTAATTATATAAGGATTCTAAATAATGTACAATTTAAAATATATTCGTATATATTTATTTTTTGTATATCTACCTGAATAATTCCAGCATACGAGTACATACATATTTTGTATAATTTACAATCGAATAGATAAATTATGTAAGTATATAATAAGAAAATCTATAAATGAAAAATATTTTTATGATTGAATTCGTACAGATTTGATTAATGATTAGCGTATGGATATTGATGATAAGATATAATTATATACATACATATATAATAAAATATTATGTATGTGTATGTATAGAAAGGCATGTAATCAAAATTAATGTTCAGAAACTTTAAATAATGGCAATTAATTTTAATATTATTCTATATTCGAACGATTGAAAAGCTCCATGCTATTCAATCATTCCTCTCCATTGTAATTATTTTTTGTAAGAGACTTACGAGTAATATCAAACATTTAATAATGTAATTTCCTGATAATATAATCATGTTCTTGGCCTACTTCTGTACGTTAAGGAATAGTGTGGATTTAAATGTCCAGAATAAAATTATATTATGTGTGTATATACATATGTATGTATTACAGTTTTAAATAAAATATCTAAATAAAATAAAATTTCGGAAATTCGAATCTTGCATGTTATATTAAATTTTTAATTTATTAAATAAAATTAATTAATTAATTTTGGCTTGAATTTAATGAATAAAAATATGTATGCATGCGCATATTTGTATGTATGTATGTAAATTAAGTTTAAACATAACGATATTCATTTAATTTTTATATTTAATAATAATAATTTCACTTTCTTACAAATTTTATTAAAAATAAACAAAAAATTATTTTCTATATTAGAAAAATGAAATTAATTAAAAAGATAAAAAAAAATTTTGATTGCATAGTCACTTCCTATAATTTTTTGTTTTAAGTTTCCTTTTTGTACAATTGGTACCATGTTGCACAATTGGTTGGCTGGTTGATGGCTAAAAATTTATTAATTTTTAAAAAATTTGAAATTCAAATTTAATAAAATATTAATGAAAAATAATTTAGTGCAATGCAAATAGAAATAAAACTCGTGGATAAACAATGTGGATAATAATCTCAAAGTAAATGGAAACATCTGGGTACTTAGTAATTTAAAATTTAATCATTTAATGAACTTAAGAGGTACATATTATAAGTATATGTAAGTGTAACTTCTTACTTATTAAAAAACTACGATAACAAGACAGTAAATACTAGAATTTGAATGAAAGTCTTATAAATTATTTATTATAAAACTTATGAAAGCTAATTTATGTATGTATATTTTCGAAACCATAAGAACAAACTTACTAGAGGAAAACTAAATTATATTTAATTTTGTTTGGGGTGCAGTGCACTAGTAACTCCTCAAATGACCCAATCCACAATTTTATTTACTCAACTTTTACATACATATATAAGTATATACGTATGTACTTACATACCTACTTATATTATCATAGTTACATTTGAAATTAAAACACAAACCATTTTATACGGCATTCATCTAGCCTCCAATATAGTTTGTCAACTCTAAATAAATTTAAGGGAAAAATATTAAATCACGTTTTAAATAAAAATAAAAACGAGAAAAAAAAAATAATAAAACCTAAATCGCAAAATCACCACACCATGTTAAATTTTCTCATAATCAAATGAAGAAAAATCAACTCGACTCAGTTCGCAAATGCCTACATAAGTTTATGCATATAAGTATATGTTATGTACAAATTTGAAGAAACTATCTACACATATGTATGTATGAATGCGTTTATTCATAAACGAAACTCAACTTTAAAAAAAATCTTATAAACAAAAAAAAATTATCGTATAAATATAAATTTGAGTATGTATAATTACACACATCCATATTTATATATAAAAAAAGGGGTAAGTTTGATGAGTTATAAATTTGGTCATACAAAATACACATATTTACATACATATTTATAAATATTATTTTCATTCGGCTAAATACAATTCAGCTATAACCTAAAAATCATCTTTTAAAATTTAAAAACACTCAACCAACACATATTTCTACTTTTTACTTAAACTTTATACAATTTTCTGAGTCATTTTTATTTTTATATACATACACACACACTCAGATAATTTAAAATAAAAATCACACTTTTCTATAAGTATGCTTGCGTGTGTGTGTGCGAAATTTAATAAAAGTACGAATTTAACCTCAAAATTTTTATTTTTTTTAGAACATGCTTTTATTTTTTCAACTTTTTCTTTCGGTCTTATTTTACAAATAAAAAAATATATGTGTAAATATAAAATTAAAATATTTTCATTACCATAAATTATTTATAACTGTAAATTCAATGATCATCACAAAAATAGACAATTATTAATTCAAAAATTGTCTCAATTGGGCGAAAATTATTTTTGTACAAATTTGGCATTCAATAAAAAGAGTGACACTAAAAAATCATTCTCAAATTCAATTCAACACAACGTTGTTGTATTTAAAAAATTTACTCATCGGTATACTGCAAACATACATTTTTATAATGAAACACATGTGAAAAGAAAAATTAGCTGAATAATTTAAGCTAAAAAGAGATATCTATATTTTTAAAACATATACATACATAGTAAATATATGTACTCAGTTTACTGGAAAAGAAATAGGGGGGAAAAGTCTATTTAACTGAAAATGACGTTTTTTTTTTTCTATAAATATTTAATATCGTGGTCAAAATTTGAATTTAAATGTTATTGACGGCTTTGCTTATAATTTTGTGCATCAAATTTGACATTTTGTCTTTCTTTTTCGAAATTTTCACCTTTTTATTCAACATTAAACCAACCCTGTGTTTCTTTCTTTCTCATTCTTGTAAAAGTATTGAATTAGAAATTATTTTTCAAGAATTAATAAAACAAAAAATATTTATAATTCACCACACATTGTTGGATATCTTAAACATAAAAGTGGGATAAATAAAATGAAATGCGATATTTGTGTTAGTGAGTGGTGATTTTTTTTTTCCTTTTCTATAAGCATTTGTAAATGTATTGCATAGAACTTTTTTTACCGGTTAAAAAAGATGACTGTACAATTATTATTCAATGTCCATATATGGTATTGTTGTTGGGTATAAGTATGAAATATAAAAAAGGGGAAAATTTTCTCCAACTATAATCAGTGAATGATGTACATACAGCCGTACATAATGTGTATTGAAATTATTATCTTTCTTTTTTTTGTTTTTTTTTTTTTTTTACCTTAAATTATAATTTCTTGCTTTCACCTTATGCAATATTATGGAAATATGAAGTACGTACGTATGTACATATTTACATATCCAATAATAAAAGTTGAAAAATTAATGATAAGAATTTACTGTTATATACATAAGTATGAATGCACATACACATATTTATATACTACATACATAGTTAATCAAATATGTATCCATGAATGTGAACAAATATTCATAGGACATTCATTAAAGTATGCATGAATGTATGTATGTATGTATAAAATGAAAGAAAAAACGTGAAATTTAATTCGACGGGGATAAAGTGTTATCAGAGTTCAAATATTGTCATAAAAATTAATTTGTACTATGAAAAAAATTAAAAAATAAAAAATTTAAAAAAAAAATGTTTAAAGTACATAAATGTATGTATGTATGTATGTATGTATGTAAGAACATTCGTGCACATACATACATACATATATACATATGTATGGACTTAAGTATTTTTAAACCAAATTTTTTTTTTCTTCTTTGAAAAATCAAACTGAAATTCTTTTTAAGAACAATTTTTTTCTGTTGATTTTTTGCAATATTAATTTTTCCTAATCAAATCCAAATATGTATGTATTTATGTATGGATGTAATATGTATGTAGTAGCATAACGAATTATGCGCCCATGGTTACCTCTCAAACCACAGAAAATACCTATCGAATCCAATTTTGAATTGTAAAACATTTAAAACGAAACCGTAACATTAAATGGTAGGTACCTAATTCGAATGTGCCATAACATGGTAGCTCTTTAATTCTGATAATTAAAACATATGCATTTTACGTTATTTTACTATTATAGGTATTCAATATTCAATTCGAAACTCGTTCCGACACAGAGTTTTCTTTTAAATGATATCCGACTCCAATATTTTCAAATAGTTTTATACAAGAATTTTGATTTATTTTAACATTAGAGTGGTAGATTCTCTATTAAATTATTTGACAGATAATTTGGTATGTCTAGATAAGTACATATGTATGTATGTATTCCGGTGTTTGTTTGAATGAGAATGTGCTGGCTTTTGCTCTTAATCAAATAGTTTCTTGAAATTTTCTATATTAACATTAAATTAAAAACAAAATTTTAAAATAAAACACAAATCAAGTTTAAATACAAAAAAAAAAAAAATTAAATAATATTCCAACTTTGTGAGAAATTTAAGGATAACCACAAAATTAAATTAAAAAAACTAAAAAAAAAAAATAACCACGTTTACATTTGCAATAGAAAAAAGTCGCAAAATTTTACAATTTTAAATAAGTAAATACGAGTAATAAAGAAAACACAAGAAAAAAATAAGGTAGCTAGTAGCAAGTTGTTAAAAATTCACTATGATTCATAAATAATAACTATATGAATAACTTGAGTATAGAAAATAAAAAGAGAAAAGAAAAACAACAAATTTAATTGAAAAATCAAAGGCATTAACATAAGCAAGCGACCAATAACTTTGTATGGAAATAAGTCAAAAACAAGAAAAAAAAATGAAAAAATCAAAAAAAAAAAACAATTTAACTATAAATGAACAAGTCATTGTAGAGATGACGTCATTAATTATGACTACTACTATAAAACATTACGATTCTCTGATTATGATTAATTCAATTTTTTTTGTTTTTTGTTTTCTATTGGAAATACCTTATTGGGAAATAAAGAAAAAAACACCTTTTTTAAGTTTATCACGTAAACGTATGTATGTGTGTAGTGGAAATAATAATATTTATGTTGGTGTAGGTAAAATCTACATTAATTATTTTTTAATAGTTTCTGTTTTTTTTTTCAAATAATTATAGTTTACTATTATTTTTGGAGCGTTTATTTTACTTGTTTGCAATATTTTTATATAAAAATGTTTTATGCACTCAAATGCCAACTTATTTCTTATACGAATTAGAGAAAAAGAATTCAAAAGTATGTTATTATTATTAAATAGTGTAAGTACCCATAATATTGATGAAGTTACAAAGTTACTATTCCAATCTAATCCATTTAAACAGAAGCATGAATGCATATTTTTAAAAAAAAACAAGACCACTTCATACTTAATTTAAGGTGAATGGATGATTTTTTTTTGTTTTTTCTAAACTAAAATCATTATTTGAAGATGCGGTTTTCTTTAAACGACATTGAATGTTCAAATGAAAAATTGATTGAGATTGAAATAAAAAATCATTATCACAATATTCGGCAATATTTTCCATAAAGTATTATACTTTTCGTATTGTATTCAGTGCTCGAAGTGAGGCGGGATGGAGTGGGATGCCATCCCAGTACTTTTAAATAATTGGAAATCCATCCCACTACTTAATAGGAGAGAGAATGCGTTCCGGAACATGTTTTTTATAATTTAAGAAAATTTTCTAATGAATTTTAAAAGTTTTTTTAACAAAAAATTAAATATATGTAATTTTAAATAAGACCAATTTCAAATAGTAACGTATAATTTTTTCCTATTATTGAAATTTTCGTTACTACATAGTAGTCTAAGCATTTTCTTTGGTAACAATTTGCACAGTTTTTGATTTAATTTTTAGTTGATTTAATTTTGAATATAAATTAATATTCTCGTTAGTTTACTTCCAAAGTTTGGTAAATTTTGTTCAGTTATTTTTTTTTAAAAAATAACTAAAATAATACTTTTCTTTTTTTTTTTATTTTTTTTTTTTTACCATCCCACCACTTTGAGTATCCCACTTCGACCACTGATTGTATTACTAAAAAATATTAAAATGTTTCACAGAGAAAACTAAATTAATTGGACATTCAAAAAATTCTGGTTGATTTTTGTAAAATTTTGACGATAAATATTACGAGTGTGCCTTAGTTAATATTTAAATTTACGTAACGCTAAATTTTGACTTTTTGTATAAAATCAAATAAAATATTTCTTTCCGAGTAATGGCCGGCAAATATAACGGCTGATATAAATATTGATATAAATGGCCGGCTGATAACAAAAATACATATATGTATTGTTGTTATCAACGGTATATGGAGAAAATTTTCTACAAAAAATATAATTATTTGAATATTATTTTTTCCAAAAAAAAAAATTTGCTAAGATAATTGTTAACTACATTCTTACTTACACATACATACATACATATTATATATGAATTGAAGAATTAAGTTTCGAAGGCTGATTATCGAATGAAAATCATAATTTTTTAAAAATTTGCTTAAGGCTCAGGCAGACATGCAATTTTTAGTTTTGCTATTTTATTGTAGAATCGTTGCGCCCATCTAACCAACTAAACTATTGTATCAATTCAAATCGAATGCTTTAAATAAAATTCAGTACGTATATCGAATCGAAAATTTGTAAAATAACTTCTACTAACAATTTTTTAAGTTTTTATAAAAAGTTTTCAGGCTACTTTCATTAGATTTGAACAACAAGATTTGCTATTCCATTTAGTGAAAAAATTTAAAATCTCTTCAAATTTTTTATATTTATTTATAACTATATATATATAATTTTAGTTAAATACTAAGCGACCCAACATCATCAACATTATAGTATCAAAATATTTTATCAAAATTATTTCTTCTACCAATCCAAACAAAAATTAATATTGAATTTAACAATGGAAAATCAAATCGTTTTTTTGCAATCCCATTCTATGACAAAATACAATGTACTTCAAAATGAAAGTGTTAACAATACAATTATTTTAATGAACTTTTTTTAAATTATTATATTATTTTAATTACTTATAATTACCAAAAAGAAAATCTTAAATTCTTTTATTCTAATATAGCAAAGTTCATTAACCAGTGATCAATCGTTATAATGACAACCACCTACATTCATTAAATTTCATTTTGTTTTTTATAAATTTGTTTTCAGTTTGCAAAATATTAATATATATATTGGTACACAACACAGAAATATATATATATATATATATATATATATATATATATATATATATATGTATATATATACATACACATTCATACATCAACAAAATTTAGAAAAACTTAAAAGAAAAACAAATGAATAAGACAAACATTTTATATTTGAAATTTTCAAAAGAATTAATTAAAATAATTAAACCTAAATTGAATGAATCACAAGTCATATTGTATATGTATGGATGTATTATGTATAGGTACATATTTACATTATGAGTATAAGTTGTGAGTAAAAA